TCTCCTGCACCGCCCCCCCCCCCCCCCCCCCCCCCCCAAAATGCATGGAACAAGGGATTAGTCTGTTCTTCACTGAAACTTTCTTGGAATTTATTCATGCTGCATTAGGGGTGAAGTGTTATATGGGAGGCAGAAGCCAGATCCCCCACTTCCACGCCTCCCAGCTTTCTCAGTGTATATACAAGTGGAGGATGATTCCCATATCAAAAAGAACAAAGGAAGACACTCGGACTCATTCCTTCTAAGTAGAGAGAAAGGAGGCTGTAAATGCAGAAAAGAGACAACTCCTGCCTTTCCATCACTGGTTTCAGTCTTTTTAACCCTATGACTGCTACCTGTTTTTCTGTTCTTTTCCACCAGCCTGAATTTATCCTCTTTTTCTGCTCTAATCTGCCCTGCCATCCTAATCCTCCTCGTACACAATCACATGGGTAATTAACTTTTAAGGATGGTAGAATTACAGTGCTCTGACTAATACACACTCACGAGTGGTGGGAAACACTGTTGGTGACAAGTTCATCCCTCTTTCTTTCCCCCTCTCCTAAACTTTGGGCAAAGGAAGGTTTTGAACTGGTTTCTGCTAGTGCAGGATCAGATTCAAGGAACATCCAGCCCCTCCCCACCCTGCCATGTGCAGACGTGTTGTAACCTCCTCAGTGTGTGAGGTATTATATTTGTGGTGGCAGTGGAAAATTCTCTTCAGCATTGGTAGTAAATGCTGCACAACAGTGAACAGGATGGCTGTGGATAGCTAGAAGTGTAGTCTGAGCCACCATGGAGGGGAATATTGCTACGTCTGTTCATGCTGTTGGATCATTGGTTTTATTGTCATTCCTGTGTCGCCTCAGAACATTTTCTTCAAAATTAGATGTTGCGCTTATATAAGATTTTTCAACCTTGCCACAGCAAGTGATCTTTACTTTTTTCCTTTGAATACGATACATGGGTAAATACGACTTTGCTTACTTGAAGCACAGGTTGGGGAAGGCATTTTGTTGCATATCTTTTGGAAATGGATAAATTGTGCCCTCTGTGTTGTCCTGAAGCAATCCTGTAGTTCCAGCAATTTAGCCAGTCACAGACCATGTAAATAGTGTATCTGCTCCACTTATGATCACTGGGGCTTTCTTGGCATGGTGGGTACAGAAGAGCTCTCGAGACATACATGTCACATACAGTGACAGTTCAACACATCCATGAGCAGGATGCTTTTTTTTTTTTTACATTTTACATGTTTTGTGAACGCCTATAGAAAGCAACTGATACAAGCTTTTGTTTAGGAAGAGTTAGTTTTGTTGAGAACGTGTAGACATGGAAATCACAAGATCATTTTTCAGCATCTTCTGAAGAAGACTGTATTTTTTATTATTTTTTTTTTTAACTGGGGGGACACAGGGGGAAGCAGTCTCCCTGTTGGCTTGCCTCAAAATTGTCTTAGATACAAAAGACAGCATCAGTCTAGTTCATATACACAGGCACGTTTCCTTCTCTTGGCTTTCAGTGTTTCACTTGCTGATCCCTTTGTTTTCCTCTCCAGACAGTTTTTGAACATATACATAAAGGTACTCTTACACTTTCTACATTGAAAAAAGCACAGAAGGCGATTGCCATGTTTTAATATATTTGTTTAATCTGCAGTTAAAAAAAAGAAAAAGGAAAACCAACTTTTCTAAGCATATGAATGATGTACTTCTAAAACAACATAATGATCAAGGTCATTTTCATTTTAAAAAGCAGAAACTCAAATTTAACAGGCCTTGAAATCCCACTTTAAGAAGTTTTTAATTTAAATATTTCAAAGCGAGTCTGTTCTTCAGATTAGGGGAAGGTGAAGCTTATATTTAAAAAAAAAAAGCTACAATAGAACAAAATACTGAATTCTATTCTCCTCTTATTCTCATTTAACACTTTGCTTTTTAGATACGCAGTTTAGCATTCCACATGAGGCTGTCTTTCTTTAAGCCACGATTATGTCAAATTAATTCCTCTTTTCTGTGTGTCACGCAGTGTTAATAACATTACTAGGCTTGCAACATCTCAAGAGCTGTTTAGTCACAAAATGAATGCTCCAGAAAGTGAACTTGAAGGGAAATTAGACCATTCTGTTTATAAAGCCCATGTAGATGGCTCCATAAATTCAGTGGTAGAGTTCAAGACATACAGTATGGATGGAGGCAGTGTAATACCTCTATCTTTGTTTTTCAAGGCTAGAAATCCTAAGTCATTCCATCTTTGAGTGTTTCAGCTTAGTACCTTCCTCAGAGATTTAATATGTAATAGGATCAATCCCAATAATTGTAGAGTTTGCCTAAGCAAAAAGGGTGAGGTTAGGAACCTTTCTGTTGTTGTTGTTTTTTACTCCCCTTACTGGTAAGGAGTTTCTCTTGCAGGGACTGGAGGTTAGCTTCAGTGAGGCTAAAGGATTTTGGAATGGCTGCTCTCCACGTGCACTAAGGAGGGGTTGTAATCTTGTGTCAGAAGTGTCTAGTTCAAGGACTTATAAATACATTGGCTGTTGTAGATTCTGAAGGGTCTTGAGACTCTTGGGTCTGCAACTGCATGTAAATACTTTAGTAGCTGGATAGCAGATACTTGTCAGACACAACAGTGGTATCATGGAAACACGATTCTTGATGCTGGGGGCTTCTTTGATGTTGGGATGCGCGAAGGGTTTTGATTCCGTGGCCACGCACGTTCCCTTCCACAGCCCCTTTTCCTCCCGTTTGTTTCCGATTTAGCACAACGTGCGCTTTCCCATGTCCCCTGGAGCAGCTTTGTGGGAAAGGTATGCTATAATTGGTTTGTAACCATTCATAATGACCTGGCAAATCGGTATGAATAGCAACGGGGAGCAACTTAACTTGTGATTTATTTAAGTAAGCTACATGAATGAAAGGTACTCCCAAGTGTACAAGTTGAGCTAGTTGCCTAATTGGATGTAAATTATCACATGTAGCTTGAAAAAAAGAGGGGTTTGTTTTGAAAGGCTGAATTTGGATTTACGAGCAAGCTTCTGGACTGCTACACCAGTTTGTAAGCAAAGTTTAATGTTGTCTTTTTGGGGGATGTCTTAGGTTTTGAATTCAGTAAGTGCTAGTATACCCTCATCATTTGTAAAGCTAATGGAATATTAACTTACAATTTTTTATTTACAGTTAGAATTTCTGACCTTGCTTTTGGTGGAGTAACACACACTTTGATTTTTAAAAGCCAGGATTGGTACTACTGCTTTC